GAGAGACTTAAGTAGTCTTTAAGAGAGAGTGACGCGAATGAATAAAGGCAGCCTGTGAGTTTGTAAAAGGTGAAATAAAATTAATTGTGCCCAGGCACAATGGGCCACGTCTGCACCGCTGCTGTGCTCGAAGGCACCCTGTGATACCAATTGAAATACTTCTGATGTCGGGTTGGGGTGGTTGTTCCTTGTGATTAATATCCCCATTTCACTGGCTGTTTGGCTTCACTGTGTTGGTAGTGCTGCAGTCACAAGGCCCCAATCCCCTAAATCAGTGGTTCGAAACCTTTTTTGCACAGTGACCTAATTGTCAGCTCAGTCCCCACCCTGAACCAAGTATAGGTTTAAATTAACGCTATGATGAAGCGCATGGTGTCCATTTACGCCAATCAATGCCTATCGCACATATCTGAATGTGCCAGTGAATTTCAAATTAAGCATCTGTGGTTCGGCTTCTTGGATTGGTTGAGTGTTTACTAGTTTCGTACTAAGCATTTGCAGACCCAGCACCCGTTTATCCTGGTTAATTCTAGCATTGGGACTGGAAAATCTGATCGTGGATCAGCATTGGAGCTCGCTGGTTTTAAAATGCCTACATTTCTGCCTCGCCAACTCTGCCTCGCGACCCAGATTTGGGTTGAGATGGGTTGAGATGGGTTGAGAATCGCTGCTCTAAATGCCACCTTTGGTCCTGACTCTGACTCCGGCGAGGACGATATCGTCCAAATTCCGACCTCTGGCTCTTCTTAGTCGAAGGTAGGGGTATTGCCGAGTTTCATCCACGGATCCCACAGCAGCTCCAGTCGATCACTTTAATAAACTCTGGAAGGGATCACTAGCGGCGAACTGTGGCTGAGAGTTTGATTAAGATGAGCTTGCAGCCTCATGTGCGGGTCGCAGTTTAGAAAACGCTCCTTGTTTGTGGCCATAATTGCTGGCATACTGCGATGATAATATGTCATGGTTTGAAGTCCTCTGGTCCACCATCTAACCTGTATGTATCTGCAGGTCTTTGACTTCCCTAACCAGTCACATCATATAAGGGGCGGAGCTAAACCCTCTGCCCCCCCCCCCCCTTATGTTGGTACTTTCAGTTTAAAGAATGAAATCGAAATGGTAGATAGATTTTGCCGAACAGACGGGGGGGGTCTCCATCTGTATATTTCGTAAGGGTTCCTGATAATATATTTTGGGGCCCCTGTATAGTGTAGGCCCCCCCTGAATCTGCAGGGTGTCCATGTCCCTCTGACACCCCCTGCATTTTGTACACACATTTGTGTGCGGAAATCTCCCATCCATTTAAGCAACACTGTCACCCAATTAAAGTATTTCAGGTCAGAAGGACAGGCATGCATTAAACATCCACGTTTGTTTGTCTAGCGTAACATGGAGGGGAAGCAGGTAAAATATAACAGGCATATAGCTGTCAAGGTGCCAGCTTGGCTGCTGCTCGTCTGAGATGATTTATAGAAGCGAATGTGAGATAGCAGCGAGCGGGAAAGGAGCCATTCTTAAAGCCGCCGCGTCAGATATGCTATTAACTCGTCAATGGGCGGATTCACATACGACGCGCAAATACCTCCTAAGAGAGAAGCCGAGTGCAACATGCAGGACCACAGTGCGGCAGATTCACAGTTTCTGATTTTTTGACTGAGTTAGGAGCAGGGGAAGACGCGGCAAGTTAATGGAGACTCAAAAGCCGAATGGTCGCTGACCACCACATGCGGCCCTTTAGTCCATTATGAATGCGGCCGGGGAGGCTCAGTGTCGGGAGATGCAGGCTTGACAGTGGTACATTAGCAAGTCCCCAGGAGCTTGTTTAGAGGGGAGGTCTGTCATTATCTGTCACTAACATTAGGAGCGACATTCTAGTTGCCAGGCGGATGAAGCTCCTTGAATAGGATTGCGGTGGCCCAATTAAATAATGAGGCCCCACCATGTAAAATGCATTGTTCACTTGTGAAGGGTCCTCCAGAATATTCGAGCAACACCAGGACATGGGGTGGCTACCCGGCGGCGGCGGGGTTTGGTGCTTTCAGAGGGACTGATTACTGATTGTTAATCACCTAAAACCAACCACAAAGCCGTGCCATGTCTGTCACATGACAAGCATGCCTGGCCTATCCTAGCCTACCGCTGGCTTTGACTTTTAGTCTGTATTTGTCGTGACTGATTCAGCAGGAGGTGAAAATTTAACCCAGGCTTGGGTTAAATTTAACCCAACCTCAGATGTCTAGCACAACTGATTCTCTCCACCATATTCCGTAAATGAAAAAAAAATAATGAATGGTGAGGAATTCTGCTCAGCTGAAGAGAAAATAATCGGAGAGGTTCTACATGCTCTTCGGTCATTCAGGTGTAGAACAGTGAGAACCATGGCTTTAAGACCACTTTCTGTAGCAAAACTGCATAATTTTGTTTATCTTAATCGTATTTGTGGACACTAGATCCCTTTGCTACTTACTGCAGCAAAGTCTGTCGAAAGCTTGTTTTGGGTTTTATGCAACGTGAAAGACACTTTTTTTTTTTCTTGATTCAAATTAATTATTCTCAGCATTGATTAGTGGCATTGCAGTGTGCATGGAACTTAAGACATTTTTGTATTTAATGTAGGAATCCCAGCAGGTTACAGTGAATAGCTTTTCATGTAGCAAGTGATTGTGGAGAGAGATTATTGCAAACATGTAGCTAGATATGCAGTTTTTATGTACACTCACGCCTCACTGGCCACTTTATTAGGTACACCTGTTCACCTGCATGTTGAAGCAAATATCTAATCAGCCAGCCATGTGTCAGCAGCATGATGTACGAAATCATGCAGATACAGGTCAGGAGCTTCAGTTAATGTTCACATCAAACACCAGAATGGGGAAGAAAGGTGATGTAAGTGACTGTGAACGTGGCACGTTTGATGTGCCAGATGGGCTGGTATGAGTATTTCAGATACTGCTGATGTACTGAGATTTACGCACACAAGCTTCTCCAGGGTTTACGTAGAATGGGGCGAAAAAGAAGAAACATCCAGTGAGCGGCGGGTCTCCGGGTGAAAATGCCTTGGTGATGGCAGAGGTCAGAGAAGAATGGCCAGACCGGTTCAAGCTGATAGAAAGGCAGCAGTAGCTCGACCAAGGTATGCAGAAGAGCATCTCTGAATGCAGAACATGGCAAACCTTGAAGCAGATGGGCTACAGCAGCAGAAGCTCATATCATCTCAGACTGGTTTCTTGAGCATGACAATGAGATCACTGTAGTCAGATGACCTCCACAGTCACCAGATCTCAATCCAGCAGATCAGCTATGCGATGTAGTGAAATGGGAGATTCGCATCATGAAGATGCAGCTGGTGTCAACATGGACCAAAGTCTCTGAGTAATGTTTCAAGCACCTTGTTGAATCTAAACCAAGAAGAATTAAGGCAGATCTGAAGGCATAATTGGGTCAAACCCGGTACTACTAAGGTGTACCTAATAAAGTGCCCAGTGATTGTATTGGAAAAATAAATTTGGAATGCAGTTATATAGAAAAAATGATTTAATACCATTTCAGCTATACTTGCCACTAATGATCCAGCATAAACTGAGGAAATAAATCAATAGGATCAAGTGGGTGAGTTTGCACGACAACTAGAGTGAATCTAATCTTTGTGTATGGGCAGTGTGATCCTTGCATTCTGAGACAAATGGCAGCAATCTCACCTGCTTCGTCAGCTGAAGAAATAAAAAATACGTCCTTAAGCAGGAAATAAGCAGGCAGGTAATTTGGTTAGTCGAGTGGCAGCTGGAAGGGGACATTAAACACAGATCCCAGTGAAATGACCTTCCTGCTTTGTGTGTCTTTGTCTATTATTGCGCTTGTATTTTTTCATAAGCATCAGGAAATGGTGAAAATTATTTGTTTAAAATAGAAACTATTTTCTTTGAAGAAACTGTTTCTGTGTCAGATAAATGCAGTGCATATTTTATTAATGGATTTTCTGAATGTTATTTTACATCAAATGTATAACCATTCGCCAATGACTTGTGCTGTTATCATCCAGAAATGAAATTGCATTCTCTTTAGATCACCATGTGTACAACATCTTGTATTAGCTACAATGTATATGAAAGAAGCAGACTAAAGATTATTTTGTTAACCCTTAAAAGTAACATACCGTCACTGTCTGATGAAAACCACTGGTAACGGTTTAGGTGCACTGAATGTTCTATGAATGCATTATAAAGGTATTATGAAGGTGCAGTTAATGTAAAGTGTTACCAAATTGCCTATGTCAACCTTTTTCACGATTGTGACGTTTTACTACACATGAAGCACACCCATTCTCCTTTATCTACTGATAGTATTTGAATAATTAAGCAATGAAAAAATGTTTTATGAAGTCATATATTTAACTCGTATTTATGGTCATAGTTAATATTTGTGTTCATGATGGTCGTTTGTATTGATTATTTCATATTGCTAATGTTAATATCTTAACATTCATAGCTAGCTGACTCAGTGTTAATTGTAAATATAAAGAAGATTAGTTTGTATCTTGTTGTCACTGACATATTTGCCTGCTGACAACAATCCACGCAAGTCCATTTAAAACATTAAACCGTTCACTGATGGCTGTGTAAAGACAGGTTTCCCTTTCCGGAGCTAAGGGTGTCCCATTGCATTGTTCTAGGTTTATTTTATTTTGTTTCTAAGAAAATAAGGTTCTTCACACTCCTGAAATAATGGTATTTTGGAGATGCGTGTTTTTCATCCGACAGCGACGTTATATTGGATTAATATCGAAACATTGGTTTCAAGACTGAAATGTTTACTGATTGGTCAGATGTTGCTGCTGGCGAATATGCTTAATTCCTTGTGAGGGAACCATGGTTACCCCTCTTAAGAGAGGCGCTGAATGAGGTAAATAGCCCAGGCCTCTGGGCGCTCGGCCTCCCGGTCAGGCCGGGTTCCCCTGTGAGTTAGCCGTACCGCTAACAGCTCTGATGCCCCCTGTCGTCCCTCAGGTCTCCTCTACATCGGCTTCAGTGCCTGCATGTTTGGCCTGTACAGCTTCATGCCCGTGGTCATCCGGAGGACCAGTGCCGCCGCGGTCAACCTCTCCCTGCTCACTGCCGACCTCTACGGGCTCTTCTGTGGCTTGTTCCTTTTCCAGTACAAGGTGAGCTGAGCCATATCCTATCGGACCTATCGGAATGTGGCGGGTAAATCTTTGCTATGGCAACATCCTAGTATTGTATGTTTTGGCTCTTAGGCAAGGGCTAAGGAATGACATCGCTACATACCACAGCAAAGACTCATTGATTTGCTTTTAGTTGACCTCCCAGATGCTTAAAAAACTATAGAGCAGGAGTCCCCATCTGTTTCTCCTTGAAGACTATATTCTATTAGCAACAAAAACCCAAGGTCCACTATCCACATCAAACTGTATTTTGTTCTGGATGTGGACCAGAGTCCACCAGTTGGGGATGCTCATGGGAATTTTACTTACACAAAAATGTTCAAGCAACTAGAGGAGGCGGGACCAAAACATTTGATTGGTTGGTCCTGCGCCCTCTATTTGCTTAGACCCACCTCCTCTACAATTTGATTGGTTATCTTTCTGATTTCATTTTGCCCTCAGGACATGTTTGTGTAAATAGAACTCCTATGTGCGTCTGGGACCCCTGGTATGGGTTTGTGGAGCTGTTTGTCTACTGCTTATTTACTTACTGTCTTGGTGGCAACAGAAACCATAGTGCTTGCTGTCTGTAAATACTGATCAGTCCATTAAAGGCATCAGCTGCTTTTTTAGACCGAGATTTTCTTTTTAAGATGTCTGAAACACAAGGCATATGGCTTGGGCAAAAAAATCACTTTAAAAGCCTTTGAGAATGTTAAGCTCTGATTTCTGACCAATTAAAAAAAAAACGACGGACGCTGACTATCATTCCAGCTGGATGAAGGACTGTGAACACAAAGTATGTCTTCAGCTCAGAAGGGATGATCGGCATGGCAATGCAAGCCCAAGAAATGGATGGATGGATCAAAACAAGCTTTTGTATATTTGATGCCTGGTGAAGATGTTTTCTTCACCTTGATCCTTTCAGGCTGCAGCTCTAACTTACAGGACACAGGAAGTCATGAAGGGGGTGTTCTTGGGCCTGCCATTCTCTTCTGCTGCCCCGAGGCCAATTTTTTTGGAATCTTAAGTAACACTAACACTAGCTGGTTTTTCCAGCGACCTTCATGGTCCCAGAGTGAAGGCATGTCAATGGATTTTTGCGTACATCTGTCAGTTCCAGGTCATAGAAGCGGCCATTTTCCATTCATCCATCCAGGGCAGGGTCACGGGGGTAGCAGTCTAAGCAGGGACGCCCAGACCTCCCTCTCCGCAGCCACCTCCTCCAGCTCCACCAGGAAATACCAGGGTGTTCCCAGGCCAACTGAGAGATATAATCTCTCCAGCGTGTCCTGGGTCTGCCCCAGGGTCTCCTCCCGGTTGGACATGCCTGAAACACCTCCCCAGGGAGCTGTCCAGGAGGCATCCTAGGTAGATGCTCGAACCACCTCAGCTGGCTCCTTTCGATGCGGAGGAGCAGTGGCTCTCCTTGGACCCCCTCTCGATTGTCCGAGCTCCTCACCCTACCTGTAAGACTGAGGACAGACACCCTGAGGAGGAAACTCGATTTTGCCACTTGTATCCGCGATCTCGTTCTTTCAGTCACTACCCAGAGCTCGTGACCATAGGTGAGGGTAGGAATGTAGGTCGACTGGTAAATCGAGAGCTTTGCCTTCCAGCTCGGCTCGCGCTTGATCACAATAGAATGGTAAAAGTGTCCGTCAAACTACCGATGCTGCACCGACCCGCTTCTCAGTCTCCCATACCCTGCCCTCATTCAGCCATTTTCTAGTTTCGATATCTCATTCTGGGGATTTATCTTCTTAATTAGACTCTTTCTTTGTAATTGAAGACGTGGCTTCTTGACTACTCTACTCAGACAGTACAGCTGTAAGAGGCCATATTCCCTCTGCTGGAAAACCTGTTCAACTTCGTGTCTGTGCAATCCCTGTCATCCAGCATAGGAGACGCAGTGGACACTGTGTGTCAGGCGCTCCATCTACTCCCATGAGGTGGAAGGTTCAGCTGCTAGGAGTGGTTCAAGTTCTGAATGTTTAGAGTAGGGCCTGTTTTTTATGAGGGTGGCTGGGAAGTCACCATACAGAGTATGCTCCTGTTCACTAATCATTCTAGCAAGCTAGTTTAATCAGCACAGATGTGGTGCTCACTAGTGTAACCCAATCACAAGACAGGGGTGGATATAGTGAGCCAGGTGACATGCACCATCACTTAGAACATAAGAACATAAGAAATTTACAAACGAGAGAAGGCCATTCGGGCCATCAAGCTCGTTTGGGGAGAACTTAACTAATAGCTCAGAGTTGTTAAAATCTTATCTAGCTCTGATTTAAAGGAACCCAGGGTTTTAGCTTCCGCTACACTAGCAGGAAGACAATTCCATACTCTAACTACACGCTGTGTAAAGAAGTATTTTCTCAAATTCAGTTTAAAATGTTCTCCCGCTAATTTCCACCTATGGCCACAAGTTCTAGTACACATGCCCCAGTACACATGCCCCAGTACACATGCCCCAGTACACGTGACTACAGAGGCTGATGTCTGACCAAGCATTCCAGTGCAGCCATTCTATGACCCAGCACCTGCTCTGGCATTTGTTCATCTGTTTTGCCCTCATGCTTATGATAAAATGGCTGCCGTTTGTTTTCGTTCCACCCGGCTGGTTTTATCACACCACTCCAGTCACATCCATCCGACTTCAATGTCACATGGTTCTGCAGTGTCACATGGTTCTGCAATGTCATGTGGTTCCACGGAATGTGGCTTGTGTTTCTGACATTTCCGCACGTCATGACATTAGCTTCAGTAAATGTAAATACATCAATTTTCTGCTTAACATTCTCTATACATGAATGCTGGTGAATTAAGACATACTGGCCGGGAAGGGGGGGGGGGGTGATTCTTACAAAGATAAATGTTTGCATGTGGAAAATCAGGAGAAATCCAGGAAAATTGGGAGATTTGACAGGTATTAATTAAAATGACCCATAGCGTTTCGCTATGCTAATGAAAACTAGTTAACACACTTACAATCATCTTCCATTTCATTCAGGTTAGTAGTCCCCAGGCGCTGGGTTTGCAGCGGTAATGCAGGACACTTCCTTTGGCCTTATTACATTGTGGGAAATAACTTGGCTTTCCTGTACGTACGTAGCTCCATCATGCAGCGGCTCACCTGACACTGCGGGAGGGCAGGCCTGTGGAAAACCTCCCCGGCTCGCTGCCACCGTTAGGGGATTTTCAGTCCCACCATTTCCTACCTGACAATGACAGGGAGAGAATTAACAAAAATCAGGAGGATTACATGGTCCTCGTGTAGCTTACGCTGTGATTCTGCCACATAGCAGCCTCCTATAAAGCAGCCATTGTCAAAGACGGCACTAATTGTGTTTGAAATCCGGGGGGTGCAAGAGGGGAGCGGCTGGGAGCGCCGGCTCTAAATTATATCTGGTAAATATCTGCCATCTGAGCAGCCGTGTATTGGGACCTCATTCTCTCTGAATTTCTGAAAACTGCAAATTAAAACTTACAAATATGTTTGGAGTAACTTTCTTCCTGCAAGACAAAAAGATGAGCTGACAGCGTTCCTTGGTACTCCTGGCTAGTGAATCACACATTTCTATATCTCCCTTCCCTTTCAAACCGGCTTTATCACTGCACACCTGCAGTTACTCCGCAGCCTTGCAGGAAAACATCTTCATTTGCCCGGCGCACAGAGAGACTAGACATTATTATAGTTGTACCGGCGCCAGCTGAAATAAGACATGCCTATTTAGATTTAGAAAGTATTACTTACTGTCTGCCCATGAAATTAATGAGTAAACCATCGCTAATGTAATTACACACTATCTCCACCTATTCCCATCTGTCATTGTTGGCTGTTGATAGCAAGTAGCACCCAGGAAAATAAAAATAAAACGCCTTTGTGTTTATTTCTGTCTGTGCTGTCGCATGCAGTGGTTGAGGCCCACCGTGTATTTGAGATCCATATTTCTTGGTCTCACCAAAAGTGTGGCCCATACTTCAGGATGATGCAGGCTGAGTCTACACTCAGCAGTATGCAATGTTCTGGGAACAGTAACTTTTCAACTTTTTGTGGTTTCCAAATATCGATTTTCATACAAAACGGACATAATACATAATAGAGAGTTTTACAGATTTGCCTGTTGCAAAGACAGGAGTCTGGAAGCTTAAAGTGATGGCAATAGATTTATTGCACCTCCTGCTGGTTTCCACATTTTTAACAAATCTTAAGGAATTGCACCCCTTAAATGCTCTACCCACTGGGCACTAAGGCGTTTTAAGGTTAAGGCTGAATGCGAAATTGCACGCTTCCACACTAAATTCTGCAGCAAAATAGTACATGAGACATAATTATCTGTCCGAAACCCTATTGTGCATCGCTTAGTGCACGAAAAGGTCCTGGATGGCATCTGGTCAAAATCCCAAGTGTGCAAACACTGTACACTATTCGATCCCACGATCCTAGACGCGTCTTCTTACACAGTCAGGCACTTGTTGGTATGCAGGAGATCTGTCATTAAAGGTCGAAATCCAGCAGTTCAAACATAACGTAGTGCGTCTGGAAAATGTACAAAGTTTTGTACTTGCGCACTTCGGGAATCGCACAAAGTGACCGTTGCCATAGTACATAGGCCTACATTTTCCTCATTTAAGTGCATGGTGTGTGGAGTGTGGTTTCAGATGCAGCCTGAGTGTGTCTTGTAGTGCTTGTTACCCGCTGTGTGTGTTTACAGCCGTGTAGCTCCCCCACAAAAAGGGGGTCAGCTGACACAAAGAGAGGGTCAGCTGACACAAAGAGAGGGTCAGCTGACAGAAAGAGGGGCTCAGCTGATATGTACTGTGAGACATATATTTATCTCCAAGAGCTGCTGCTCCCTGTGGATTTCCCAGTGCTTTTCTCAGACATTGTAAAGCTACCTTGGAAAACCACTTAGATTATACATGGTTTCTATGGAAACAAAAGAGTCAACTTGCTTAATGGTAGAATTTTCCACTTACATTCAAAACATACACTAAAAAACACAATGACTTTGAAGTGATAGTTGATGTAAAACAAGCAGACGACTTTAGGAACTTGGCTATCAAACATATTTGTTGTATTTTCTAATCGCATGTGTAATTAAATTTACGTAATTTGATATGAGAGAAATTTGGATATTATCATATGCAAAAAGGCAAGTCTATTGCATATGTTGGTCTCTATCTAAGGTCACCTCAGTTTTTGATGGGCTGTTTCTGAGTATTAAGTGAGTTATACAGGCTGCAGGTTGACCCAGTCGTAGGTCACCTTTCATTATAGCAGAGGGAAAAATTCAATTACATCACGCTAACAGCGTTGATGCTGCTGACCCTTGTATTGCATGCGAAGGGGGAATGTGGACGGAATAAGTCAGTGTGATGTGGCAGACAGGTGATAATAGCGGCTTAATGAACATTTTGTGTTCTGTGTAGCTCTGTGGTCACGGTCGATGGACGTGCCACTGGAAACCTTCATTGCGGGTGACATTAACCGTGTCACTAGTGCTGCTGTTCCGTCCCCACAGCCTATGCCAGGGTCTGTGCTACTTACCTGTGAAGTTCGTAGGAAGTTTGAGAGCAACAGGTATTCGTTTAGGGCTGTCACTGCGCCCTGTGGTGTAGTACGAGGAACCAGTGGACTGAGAGGGCCTTCGGTTTCGCCTGCAATTGATGAACGACCTTAATTATTGTTGCGTTGATTAAAAGCCTCGTTGGGTAGGGTGCAAGGCTGCCGGTTAGGTGCGTCCGTTTGAACTTGAGCTGGCCGTGATGAGTATTGCTGTAGCCGGCCTCCAAAAAATGAAGATGTCAGCATAATGACAGCTGCATCAGTAAGAAGCCTTGGGGAAGGAACATCTATCTCTGTGCTTTGTTAACCGGCCGGAATTGATTTTAGCTATCGCTGTGATTACAGTTATTACTGGTTTTGTGTTAATAACACACGATGAAACTCCATCAAGCGTCGCCTGGCCTTAGGTGACTCCCATGATTCTGAGATGCCGTGTCACTCACTTGCCCTCTTCATCGCCACGTCTCCAGCGTACCAGCTCTGAAAATACGCCTTCCCCCAAATCTTCAATGGCTGGATCTAAACAAAGCAAGACCTTGGGCTTGAATGAAAATAGACACACAGGAAAACAAATGCAGCATCCCCACATTCGTGATATTTTGGAATTCAACATCGGGTTATCTCACGGAGGAAGACACGCAGTAACCTGCGTCATACTTCGATTAAATTGCAGGTTCCTAATGCTAGCTGGATGTACTGTAAATTATCGTCTTGTCATACCAACGAAAGAGTGGATTCATCACAGTGCTCAGTAATTGCTTTCACACATGATATTTTCCCATCTCTACAACATCTCCGCCTCCATTCTCCTCACCCTATATTATACTGAAAGTCTCGATGCCGCCTGCTGTTCAGGAGTGTTCATGTCAACATTGAGAGCCAACTCAACATTACAATCACTTGCATTTCTTTGGTGCAGTGAAGATGTTTTTTTTTTTTACAAATGTTTGAGGATTTCTGACTTAAAATGGGTTTTTGTGTTTTCTTGTACACTAACTTATGTACCATTAACATGTAGAAGCTAACAATCATTACCCAGAGGCATTCTATCACTCACAATGCATTGTTGCCCTTCAGCTTAAACACAATAACAATGCATTGAATGCCTTCATAATGCATTCATCCTCAAAAAGACATTATGAATTTTGTAAAGATCGGAAGTGCACTGTCTTAAATAGCTGCACAAAGCTCTTTGAAGCTGGAGTTATTTTTAAAACTGCAGTCACATCCTTCGGTTCCAAGTCTTTGCGATTTCAGCTCCAGCTTTTGCTGTGAATCTGTTGGGTTTCCAGACAACTGACATGTATCTTATGAAAGCATACTCAGGCTTTTCAAATCTGTACTGTATGAGGGAAATACATGATACAGCCTGTGTCACCATAAGAAAATGCCATCGGTTTGTCCCCATGTCCAAACATGACCACCGCCCAAGTGACCAGATCTGCTCTGTAGGTTACACTGAGGACATCACTGTCACGACCTCTCATGGGGTGCAAACAGGGAGATGATCCAATGCGGGTGTCCAGGAAGGGTCCTGCAACCCTGCATTGCCCTGTGATGTGGTTGAGGCTCACTAAGAGTCCTTGGCGAAGGAACCCCGGCCTGCACGAAGAGCTTGTCAGCGTTTTACTGATGTCCTTTGAGGGCCTCTTAATGAACCTCATATTTGTTGGAACCTGAAGTTTATAGACCCGTTCCGTCTCTTTCTTAAGTCATCTCGTTAGGAATGAGAATTAAGGGAGCATCAAAAAGGATTATCTGGTAAAAATACCAAATACTAAGGTAGAAAGACGGGAAATGGCTCCTTATACTTTTAAATTAGACTCTCTGGAGTATTTGCTTGCATTTTTTAAATAAATGCACGAAGCCCTTGATTATTCATTTGTTGCTGATGATTAGCAAAGCCTGTTTATCTCCCTCTGGACATGATGCAGAGCTGTGGACCCCAAAACTCCAGGCTTTCTTGGCGCATAAGTCTGCCCTATCGCTGGTGCCGTAAGACTGTCAGCTGCTAATTAGTCACTGCTGATGTAGCGAACCTTATGTAAGGCTGTGCTCACTTTAATGAATGACTTTGCAGCCGGGTGACAAGACCGATGGTCACCTCACATCGGTGACACCACTGTGGAGATATACTGCTGGATGGCGTACGGTCTGAGTGGCGCACGATCTACCTCTTATCACTCCAGAGCTTGTGATAGGTAATGAAGTCCAGTCACTGGCTCAGATAATTCACTGTGAGCAGGATAAACACTGCGGACTTCCCTTAGAAGTAAGTGTTAGAATTGACAGCTGAATGACATTCCAATGCCCACAATATACACTAATGGAAAAGCTGACACATGCAGTAGTTTCTCTGCTGTGTTTGAGGGGAACGTCATTTTTGTGCACATTGGTTGACAGACACAAATGTACTGGTGGGGTTTTCCCTTTGCCTTGTCACATATCATAGTGGTCTTTCAAATTCCCTGTCAAATCATCCTGGGAGCGAGTTTACTTAGGTTACAGCTATCGTTGCAGAACATGGACATGTTCGATACATAAGCCGTAGGATGTATTTTGTCATGTGCCTTTTCCTGAGCTTGTTGCTGGTTTTTAGAGCATACACAATTACTTATTTAGTGTAGCACTCTTTTATGTCACTTTTTTACTTCAACTGCACAGCAGCACTGCTGAAGAACCACAAATCTTGCAGGAAGCCACTTATGTAATTCTGTTCCATATCAAGAACTCATATGGGCATTCTGTTCTCTTGGGTTTTTCGTTTTAAAATGTCACATGGTCATATCCCACAATGCATTCTCTTCTCTAGGGTTTCCATTTTAAAATGTCACATGGTCATATCCCATAATGCTTTCTGTTCAAACACGACTTTTAAAGGCTCACTCCATAAACAGAATAGCAGATGTTATCTTCTGTTTAACAGACATTTTAATTAATCTGGGTTTTGTTTGTGTCATTTTGTTTCATAGTAAATGTCTTTTTATTATTCTAGAGTTTATTACTATTTCCAGACACAACAGATAATAAATACTCTCTAGGAGGGGAATATGATTTGTTTGATTGGTTTTGGCACAGTCCACCAAACATTACAGTACTGGCAAAAGAATTCTTTTTAATGTATTTTCAGGGGTAATTTAATTCACTGGCAATACTACTAAATAATATGATTTTATAAGGGAAAAAGTTTCAGTGACTAGTTTTTTTAGTTATGATTGGTTGTCCCACAGGAAATTAACCTGCATTTCATGTAAATTTTCTTGAGTAACAAACCCAGGGCTTTTAAAGTGCCTTAAAATCTCACCTGGCCAGGTTCTGAATCTTCGGGCCTCATGGCTGCGCCTGACTGTGTCTCCTCTCTCAGTTTTCAGGGCTGTACCTGCTGTCCTTCTTCATCATCGTCTTGGGGCTGATCCTGTACTACTCCTCTTCAACATACGTGGCCCAGGACCCCCGCGTCTACAAGCAGTTCCGTAACACCGGCGGCCCAGTCGCAGAGGCGCCCCCCCTCGGGCCCGTGGAGCCGTCAGTCACCTACACCAGCTTAGGTCAAGAGGTGGAGGAGGAGCCTCGGATCCGGGTGGCCTGAGGGGGCGGAGCCAGTGAGTGAGAGGCGGCGCCACGGCCTTCTCACCTCCTCCCCCCCCCCCCCCCCCCCCCCCCCGATGTCTAAAGAGAGGGAAAACAAAGAAATGAACAAAGAAAAAAGTAGCAAAAGAGCAGAAGTACACTGTGATCACAAACTGTGAATAGCTACCAGTGACAATTTAAGATTTTTTCCAAGTCATATATATACAAATAAATATATATATATAAATATAAATATATATCTATATCACCCCATCTTCTACCCTTCTACATTTTATGCTGTTTAGAAAGGTTTGTGGTGAATATGTATGCGTGCAGAAGCTCTGTTGTGATGATTATTACACTGGCGTATAAACTTTGGGAAAGTTTAAGCTTTGTCACGAAGCTGTAAGTGGGGTCTGTCTCCTCAGAGTCATGTTTTAAGATTCATCTCATTTAAACTTCTCCTCGCTCAAGAACTCAATGACTGGAGAATATCAGCTAATACATAGGTTTAGGCGAGAGCCAGTGCCTTGCTCTGTATCACTGTTGTGTGTTACGATATCAGCAGTTGAAAAGGCCTCAGAGCACAGCAGGTGTGTTCTGGTGATCCTGAGATGAGTATTAGCCTTTCTGACTGTTGACTATCATGCATTGGCTTTGATTTTCAGAAATATGTTTACATGTTTTTCTCTGTAAAATATATGCTCTAATTCAACTCAAGCAACTGCATATGTTATACATTACTGGTCCAAAACCAACCTCTTTAGACCAGAATCTCTGATTTCAAAGATTCCAGTGATACATTTCCTTTATACAGTTAGTTTACAGATCACGGCATTGAAAAAGACAATGTGGATTTTCTTACTTCACTTATATTACTCTCTGGTTCAGACCAGCATTTCAGATGGTTAATGTGGGTTCATGTGTCTCAACAACTGGACTTTGCTCTCTTACAATTTGACTTCTTTAGAGCCGTGAAATATCCCTCTAGTCTTTCTTCCTAGTGCAGTTCTTTCCAGCTTTCGATAGCATATACATTGTATCGTCTAAATTTACAATTAATTCACCTTTCCAGTTTTCATAAATAGACGGTGACGGGAGGGGGTGTTGGGGGGGGGTGTGGCTACCCCCGTAGTTTCAGGATGCCCAGCACTTTATAGGGCCCCCTGAATATGAAAAATAATAATGAACACGTTCTGGGTACATCACACATCCATAATTTCTACTATGGTGGGGGCCAAGAAGACATTTTGTCGGTGGCCCAGAATCCCTAGCTACGCCCCCTGGTGGCGGGCATGTACGGTGATCCACCATGAATGAGCATCCATGTGTAATGGCTTAAGGGTCAGTTCTGAAGTGTTTACACAGCAGGCATTTTCCCGAATAGAGAAAGTTGTAAGGGAATCTGAGGTTGGATGGACGATGATGCTTCCCATCCAAACTTTGACATTCCAGGAACTCTTACAGCCTTTTCCGCAGTGGTTTTGGTTTAACTTTGCATTTCCCAACATCTTCTTTACTTAAGTAATTTCTGTTATTATATCAGGATTGCAACACTATTACCGTTTCTCCGCACCAGTCTAGCTCATCAGCAGTGGGCAATTAAGAACATGACCAGGCTTAAATGACGGAAATAAAGGACAATATCTCTCATTACCAGTTACTTTTGTATGGACAATTCCCTTTATAAACGTCGTCTGATGATACTGTCAGAATGATATTGTTCTTAAGGGTTATACATACAACTTATTAGGAACCAATCAAGATTTCTGGTAATCTGACCATGAACTGAATGTGTACTATTTTAAAAATGAAAATGTATTTAATTTTTACTACTTTTTGAATGTACAATTCAGATTGTCAGAAAAGGCAGTTGCGGAAATATATTCCGAACACCGTTGCTCTTTTAAATTGTTTTCCTTCAAATGTATGTAATTTTAAAGTGCATAGATGTACCTGGTACAAATTTTAAGGTAACTTAAATCGACATTCAGCTGACCATGTAATGCTGTTAACACACTGGATATACGTGGTACGGTTGAAGACTACCGTTGATTTTTGTTCTGCCACTTCTGATTAACATTTGGTTATTTGATAGTACTTATGGAGTTGTGTTAGTGCGGTTTTAAGTGTAACTCCAGTTTCCTTGTGAATTTCCCCTTTGAAAAAACTGAAATGTGTTGGATCAAAATGTTTTAAACGCCAAATACACCGGAAGAGAAAAACATTCACGCTGATACCATTTGGTACGAACTGAAACATTTTCATCATCATACTTTAAAGGCTGAGGTCACTGTTTCGTCTAATCTGATGATTTGTGCCATTAATATTTTGATAAATGTGTAGTTTATATATTATTTGTTTAAACAATTGAGTTGAATTCAAAAATAGTAATGATTACATAATGTACCCCATGGGTAAATCTTTTTGTTAATTAAAAAAAGAATCCTTACACAGCACAGTTAAGTAAAAGATGTAAATGTAAAATAAATTAAAAAAAACACATGGTTTCCATGAATAAAAATGAAATATGAAACATTTTTGATATTTGCATGCTCGGAATGGACTGGCCGTGGTTATGTGGTAACTGTAAAATGTTTTCAAATAAATGCTTTATGAAAATTGCACACAAGTAACACAAACATCTATGCTGTTCTTTTATTTATTCTCATCAAACTCTTTTTGAAATAAAAACAATTTGTCTTATGAAAGACGATAAATTGTATTTTTAATACAAATCTAAGAATATATTGGCTTTAGGAAACACCGTGCCCATCATCATCCAATCATAATGATCTTTACTCTGGTCCTTGATGCTGTGCATTTCTCAGTTAACATCTGTGAGAAGGTCTGCTTGTCTGCAGCTTGCTGTGATAGTTGTATGTAATATACGGGGTTATGTAAAATGCACAGCTCTGGAAAAATTTGAGACCACAGGACAATTTTTTGTTTCACTCATTTCTCAATTTATGGGTGTGCATCTGTGAATAATATGTTTTTACAGTGGGACCTCGGTTCTCGAACTTAATCTGTTCCGGACTCCGGATCGAATCCTAAAAAGTTCGAGTTCTGACCGAATTTTTCCCATAAGAAATGATGGAAAACCAATTAATTGGTTCCCGCCCCCCCAAAATTACACCTAAATATGTTTTTTTTTTTTTTAGCATTTAAACACAAAATGAACAGGATAAAACAAGAAGAGCATTTTTTTCTTAATGGCTTCCAAAACGATAAAGATCTTATCCCAACATTACCCCTGTCCTGCCCCGATCGTCCGCTCCTTCCGTGTGCCACGCCCCCTCGTTAACCTCGTATGGGATCCCCATGTGATCAGCTGTTTCTGGCTGTTGTCATTAGTCCTCTGCATTAAGTCCGCGTTTCAGTTTTGTTTCCCCAGTCTGGTCATTGGGTGCGTTCGACTTGCTTACAGCGCTGGCTTAAAGCAACGCATTCTGATCCTGACGCAATGCATTACGGTTAGATGCATTGCGACCTCTCACCCAGTTGCACAAACTGGAACCGCCTCCGTGACGACACACCTTTGCCCTTATTGGCTGAAGAGTTTAGATACACGCATGACGTTTGTATGCCATTAAGTTCCGATGCGTAATCTGCTGTTTCTCCCGAATATCACGTAAAGCAGTGAGAACTGGTTTTCAGTTAATTTACCTGGTAAAATAAAGTATATCACGTATATAAATTACATAAATGCTCTAATAGTACACGTAAGTTAGTGGTTTATTCATTGTTAGTTACTGTAATGTTGCGCTGCTTTAGTTGGTTAATCGTCCAGTCTGTGAAGAAGGCATTCAAGTAAGAATTGCATTTCCTGGCGCTTACAATTTATATTAGGTCAGCGTTCACGGTTCGACTTCTGATATTCAGATCGAGTTCTAGGTCAAACTGGTTTGTTCGACTTTCAAGAAATTCAAGTTCTAGTGAGTTAGAGAACCGAGGTACCACTGTATTTGCAAACTGTAGCCTGATTCTTCTGTTTCTCATGGATGAGGGGCTTCGTCCTTGCTTTATGGGACTTCAGTTCTGATTCTAGGAGCCTGATACGAACTATCCTAACAGTGCACTTCACACCTACACTTAATGTTTCCCATTCCTTTTGATGTCATCCTCCAATTCACGAGAAACTGTTGGGTAAGTTGACAGTCATCTCTGCCATTATAAATTCGCTTCTGCCCTTTACCTGGCTAGTTTCTGCTCATTCCTAGTGTCTCCTGCTTCATCTTATTCTTATGTACTGCTGTTTCGGAAATTTAAAGTTGTAATAAAATTCCAATAAAAAATGCATTTTTACTAGTAAGAATTAAGTCATGAAGCCTTATACTAATAAAAGACTATTTGGTTTGCCATACCACACCGAAACTGCTGTCTGAGAAAGTTTTGATTGCATAGGATGATGTCATTTTCTGTAGTGGAGGATGAGGGCTCGTTCACCACTTATAAGTTCTAAAAATACCCGCCCGAAATGTTTATAATACACTACTAAATCTGGCCCGAATATCGATCTTTCCTTTTCCACGTAATAAAAATATCATTCCGCTAATCTGGCAAGCTCCCCAAGTTTCAAAGTCATGCTGACCAGTATAAGTGATTTGAAATGGACGAATGAATGCATATATTATCACTTTTTATTAATCGACTATTTTCCGTACTATTTCAAACGTCTGTATATCGTTAAACCAGCGGGCATCTCGATCGTGAACGGTATGATCCACTAATACTTAACTTGTGAACGAACTGAACGAACAATGACTGCAAACGAAATAATTCAGTTCACTTAAAAGATTCCCTTAAAAAAAAGAACTTCACTGACAACAGAAATTTAATTAGAGTGTCTGTCGTAGTAGCTGTGCTGTAGCATTAGCTAACCTATACCGCAACTCCACCACAGTTATTACACACCGCGCCGATATTCTAAAAGAGAAACGCAACCACGTGCATTGGCTACGGTATGACACCATTTCTACGGAAGCCGCATATTAGCTTTGGCCCGCGCGTTTTAAATATCGGGATGGGGCATTTTCAAATACACATCTCAGGTAACAAGACATGGAACTCCTTTTCTAAACGTGGAAAAGAACGTGTAACATTTTAACTTTTACAACGATTATAATACACTTGGATAAAAACTTTGACTAATTTGTTGGTTCCCCTACGATCTCCGTAGTGGTTTTTCCCAAGCTATTAGGTGGTCTCCGGTAATGGCGCGCCGGCGGCAGTCGGGAGCATGGCACTCCTTAACGGGCGCTGGGAAAGGGAGCTGCAGGAACAGATCTCCTTGTTGTCGGCTGGTTCAGCTGAAAGTAGCGAGCAGCCAGAGCATCTCGGCACTGGCCTCACAAGAATAGGACTGCTACACCTCAGCGATGAGGTCCTCATCCTCATCCTCCGACAGTTAGATCCCGTCTCTTTACTACGAGTCGGGAGCACGTGTCGAACCATGTTCCGGATCTGCTCCTGCAGCTCTCTCTGGACGCCGCACTTCCAGGTAAGAAGAGTCACGCACCATCCAGGTCATGATTATCGCCCGGACAACAGTCAAGCTCGGAACACGGGCCCAAACCAGCCCCTGAAGGCTTGTGTATTTGAATATTTACCCCGCTGTGGCAGGCGTCGTTTGGAGTGCCATTCGCCGCTGCCACCTGCTCCGTCTCGGCCAAAGACGGCTTCCGGCTGATCTTCATGTGGAGGACGCTCTACAAAAGCCTGCATTTCAACCGATCCCTCCAGGAGAAGCTCTTTGCAGAGATTCCTTTCCCCCCAGACAAGTATTGGATTCAGTGGCTGGTCCTTGAAGAAACCGTTCCGTTGCCTCCAGTCAGGCTGGCCTTTGGAGAAATAGAAACCCTATGGGGGATACAAACGGACCTATTGGAAAGGAAAGAGCAAGGTGAATCTCAAGCAGGGCCCTTCAAGCGAGCCTCTCTATGGTGCCAGCTGTCACGTATCTGACGTGACATTCATGCTTTCAGCCTCACTCTCACGCAAAAATCTGCATTATTTCATTATAAACCTAAAATTAGCTACATCAAGGGCGTTGGGCTACTTTGCAAACCCTACAGACTATTTATTTAAAAGGTAATAAACCCCCCCGCCCCGAGCCCGTATTCCTTGCTTTATTGCTGTATTGCCTTACAGAGACGGCTGATGAGGGGACCCTCACGCTGGAGTGGAGTGAGCTGCACCGCCGCGCCCTGCAGCAGCACGGCAGCCTCGCCGTGGTTTTCCAGCATGTTCTCAACCAGCACGAACCAAGCGGTAGGTTGGTTGTTGTGGAGGGAGGCGCTGCAGGGGCCAGTGGGTCAGTGTCCGCGCTGCCTGCCCGTCATAAGCGGCCTTTACGGTTCGCTGCGAACACGCTTATAGCCGCAGTGTTTACCTTCCCCGCCTGGCTTCGCCATTAGTTATTACGTTGGATGTGTTTATTCTCTCCGGCGTTGATGTATTTTATTGGCAAACCATAATGTTCCCAAACTGCCGATTATGACTGACTGTAACCAACCAACAGCTACGACTGGCAGTGTTTTCCATGCCGGACATCTTCATATGAAATTAGGTTCCGTAACAAATGTTTATTCCTTTATTTGTCTGTCATTATTGCCCTGCACTCTGCCTTAAGTTCTGTCACGCTACACTAAGCGCCGATTAAGGCGAAAAGCTTACGTTTGTTAGTTTTTTGGCATTGTCTATTCAGATTTGTGACTGCTGGGCAATGGGTGTCAAGAATATTGCATATCAAGGCTGTATATTTAAGCTCTTCTTTATAATTTTGTCACTATCCAATGACTGTTCTGTTAATCCTCATCTTTAAACCTATTTATGATATGCATTCCTGTTTTGTACAGCTAGTTCAATTCAAGCTGAGGCATTGGTTTGATAGATTATGGCCTTTAGGCTGTTTCTGAAGCATTTAATGAGTAACTTTCATTTCACAGTCTGACACATCATGTTATTGGTTTGTGTGTGTGTGTGTATTTGTGTGTGTGGGTGTGTACCTGCTTGTCTTAATCAGTCACCAATACAGAAATGTGTAAATGGTGTAACACTGTTTGGCCAATACACTACTTCAACAAAACATTTAAAACGAAAGTTTAAAGTGCCCTGCATAGAAGATGCAGCCTCATCTTTTCCTGTGTAGTGCTTTAATATCACCATTTTTTCCCCCCCATGATATTGTTCGTGTTTTGTCTGTCATCCACTTTTTCGCGCTACTGAACTCCGATTTCCCTTTGAATAATATGAATTTTGGTGATTCCTTTGGCCCCCTTTTTTAAATCACACTGAAGCAGTTTGCTACCAAAGCCCTTTGACACAGTCACTAAAGATGCCTTTCTGGATCATGTCTAATTAACCGTCGCCTTCTCTCAGCTGGTGTAGCTGTAAGAGCCTTAACGCCCCCCCCCAGAACTCCTGGCCTTCGCTCGCCATTGTTTATTGAAATGGGACAGTTCCATTTAACACTTGGCTTCCCCTCTTGGTTTCATTTGAGTCCTCGACTCTCACAACTCCAACTTCTACGGTCTGTTTTTTAGCGCTATGGGGCTGATGGACTGTTGTGAGGGTGTCTCCCCGCGTGAAATTCTCATCCATCTCGTGTGAGAATGGCATTCAGTTGCTACTTTTCAAAATGGCATGTGGCACTTATGTACTTTTTTTTTTTTTTTTTTTTAATGTCTGATTCCGGAAACAAGAATGTGTAAATTCTGCTTGTCTGTCACTTTTCTGTAGAAGGAAATGTCCATTCATAACACATGTTCTGTGACCTTTCTTTACTTGTGGAAACCATGTTGCTTATGAAAAGCTGGCAATGTGCCAAAGGGATAAGTAAGTATGCTGCCCCCTACTGTTAAGTCGGTGCTGCCATTTACAGGGTTTGTGAAGCCAAGGTTTTGTTTTGTTTCCATGTTTACGCTGTGTGTGTGTGTGTGTGTGTGTGTGTGTGTGTGTGTGTGTGTGTGTGTGTGTGTGTGTGTGTGTGTGTTGACACCTCTGGAGCGCGATCTGATGAGGCTGCCTCCAATGCCCCAGACCACAGGGAGCTGGAGGACCTGTTCTACCAGTACAGACGGCACCGCTTCCACTGGTTCTTCTCCTATTGGCTGTTCCGCCAGCCGGCACCCCTTGACCGGCAGCTGCGCACGATCTACCTGCAGTGGCGACCGCACAGCCGGCGCAAGGTGTCGTCATGGGGCAGCGCGCTGTGCGATGTGCGTTACCTGGCGTCACTGCACCAGGTCACTGCCGACTACTGGAGGGGCCGGTTGGCGTGTGGCGACGAGGCTGCGGGTGAGTTATCTGCTGTTCCCCATGGTGAACGGCTATCAGTAGCTGATCGGTTAGCATCGTGTTGACGGCCCCAGCCTGCCCGAGGCAGCACCATGAGACGTGACGGCTTAACATCGCCGGAATGTCTGCTTCTTTCCTTCAGGAATCCAGACTGTGGAGAACTACTTCTCCATGTGCAAGTCGCTAGTGGCCTGGATTTTGGGACGTGGCTGGGGTGGACTGAAGCGCAAAAAGGTACCATGTTAGAAACTGTCTACTATGTAGTGATAAAACGTTGTTGATTTATTTATTTTATTTATTTTTAAATATTAAAAAATGAGAATATCATGTCCTCCAGGTGCCGCCTTGGCCATTCCATGTCTTTGTGTTGACAGAAGTTCCTGTAATTCAGTGGAATTTCCAGCACTTTCCCTTCATGTCGGTGAAATTACTTTTACTGTTTGAAACCTTAAGTCTCTTGGACAAAATGCCTCGCAGAGCAAACTTTTTAACCATTCACAACAAACATTTGATCTTCAGTGTAGTACAATTGTTTTGGTCCAGTTCTTTAACCGTTAGACTGAGTTCAGTGTTGGCAAGCTGAACCACAACAGCTTTTGTCTATAGATTAAGGCATGAGACATTTTCTGCATGCAACTCCAAGGGGATGCAGGAAATGAATCGGGTTTTAGCTTTTGAAGCTTTCAAATAGTGCTTCACCCCAGATTGAACATGGTGTGTAATGATTTATTTCTCAGTTTCTCCTCCTGCCGGGAGAGTTCGCTTGTTAACTTCCTTGAGGACTCTCGGTTCGGTGCCTTTGAAATTCCCCCGGCGGCGTGTGATGGAAGAATGGAGACCAGCGTCTCAATGTAACTCTCGGCTTCTCGCTGGGGTGCTGTGATGTCATCTGTCAGGTATATGAGGACACCCTGCGAGGCGTCTACCGGCTGCTCCGGAGGGAGATGCTGGACTCGCTGGTGGAGCGTGACCGGTTCTGGCAGGTCGCCAAGATGCAGATGTGCCGCGTGTGCACGCTGGCAGAGACTGCAATCAACTATGTCAACTGGAAGATGATTGAGACCCTGCCCTATTACAAGTAGGAGTTTTCTGGTGCCTGATGCCTGTTTCTGACCTGTGTGTCAGTGCTTTTCCCTATAGTGAAGAATGGGGGATGACTGAGTTGGGAATGGGGGTTTGATGTTGAAAGCGATGAAGCTGTAGTAATCCTAGTAGGGGGTCTTGTATCCATGGCTGGTGTGACGCTCGGTGTGGGAGGCCCCTTGGGTAACAGGAACACATTGCGGCGGCAGGCGCTTTGAAGAATGAGCCGCAGTAGCTTCAAACGCGCCATACCTCTGTGGGTCTCGCAGGAAAGGCCTTCAAAGCAGGCTGGCCAGCCCCAGGTGGCTCATGGGGACGTGACCCAAGCCCAGACTGGCTAAGTGATGAGACTCTGCGCTCAGGGTCAGTAGGCTGTAGGCTGCCGCTTTAAGGCTCCCAGTTTCCACACTGTGGCAGCTTCTCCAGGTTTTTTTTTTTTTTTTTTTTTTTTTTTGTAAACTGATGAATTGCCGCCCCCATACACTTTTCTATCAAGCTTTTAACCGTTAATTTCATTATCCAAGAACATAATGAAAGCGTTGTCTCAATTATGTGTGTGTTCCTTAATGCATTATTTTAAAAATGCACAAACCAGTCTTCTCTATCCCCTTAGATAATGGAGGGAGATTCATTAAGTTTAATCACTCTCATTGCCCATGTCTTCAGAATGAGCTTCAATTTATTATTGAAGTAGTCTGTGTATAGAACTACACCTAAGATCGTGGCTCTGCATACATGGTCACATGCCCCCCCTCCCCCTCCCTCCTTGCAGACTGTACTTGGTGTCGGGGAATGTGATTTACCTGCAGCATGTACAGAGCTTCCTGTCCAGGAAGAGGCTGGTCCATGACTGGATCCACCTGGAGGAGAACAGCTGGTTGCGGTGTTTGCTGTCAGATGAGCTCTACAGGCTACTAGAGTATGACACCAAGATCACTCAAGGTATCGGGGGGGGCTGTGCCACTCTTATGTCATGAGCATTCAGAGAGTGTGTGAGAGAGAGTGTGTGAGTGTGAGTTCTGGGCCCGCTGGGTGAGCCTCCCCTGCACCGCGTCCCAGCATGCTCCGGCCTCTCCCTCTCCCCCCCCCTCACCGTGCTCCGGCCTCTCTCCCCCCCCCCCTCCCACACCGTGCTCCGGCCTCTCTC